CCGGAAAAGGATTAAAACATACACGTTCCGATGTGCCAATCGGACACGATCTAGCCATCAAGTGAGCTATCGTGTTACCCCCTCTCAAAACATGACTACAATGAAAATGAGAAAAACAAGTAATCAACTTTGCAATGCAATCAATAAAACCATACAAATAGTTAAGGCCAAACTCCTGTGCATGGATCTTGTGTATCACTCCCAGTGAGTCACATTCCAACCAGACTTGTTGATAGTCAAAACGGCGAGCAAGAGACAGACCAAATAAACAGGCAGCAGCTTCAGCTACATTGACATCCCACCTGCCAGCAACTCTTCTAGCTGCTGTAAATGGGATCTGGCCTTCAGCGTTTCTAGCAACAGCACCCAAGCCCATAGAATTATCCTGAAAAAATGCAGCATCTACATTGATCTTCACAACCCCACCATTCGGCTTCTTCCACTTCTTCGCAAAAATAGAGGGACAACTTGCTTGATTAGAGTGCACACGCCTGGAATAACCATTATACTGCTCAACATAGTTAACAAAAATTGCTACAAGAAGTTGTGGACAGTGAGGATGATCATCAAATATAGCCTTATTTCGGCTTGTCCAGGCAGCCCTGGATAAAGCAGCAAACAGACAGAGGTCTTTCTTCGATACCTTGCCAGCTATATGCTTGAACATAATCACAAATTGAGCTTCACCAACTTCACGGATGTGGGACCAAAAGGGGTTGTGTTCCCAAATTAAACTGGCTGAATTACAGAAGAAGAGAGCACGAGACATCGATTCATCCATATGCAAGCAGCGTCTTCATTTTCCATCAGGTATAATGTGCCTCCTACGAAGCTCGGTATTGACGGGCAGAAAACCAGAGCAAGCTCTCCAAATAAACTACCGAAGCTTTGGAGGGCCATCAATGTGCCACACGAGTTTCCATAAATCCACTTGCATATTCTCCAAGCTATCCCTCCAGCCCAAAACACCCATACAGTAAGCAGATTTAACAGAAAAAAATGCCATTAGGAGTTTTTCCCCAAAACAAAGTGTCACGTCTGCTGTTATCAAAAACAGGAACAGCAAGAATATTATCAATGTCCATAGCAGAAAAGTGTAATTGCAGCTCTGAAATATTCCAAGAACCAGAATTCTGATCTATTAAATCAGCAACCAAGAGATCCGGGTCATGCAGCCCATTTATAGGAGGAGAAGGAACTGTAATTTCAGGCCCATCCGGAACCCATCTGTCTCGCCATACATGAATATCCCTACCATCACCAACTTTCCAACATAAGCCTTCAATGAGAAGAGATTTCGCCCCCCACAAGCTTCTTCACGTAAAGCTTGGATTAAAACCCCTCCTAGCCTCCAAGAAGCTCGAGTTTTTAAAGTATCTAGCCTTGAATATTTGATGAAGAAAAGAGTTTCCACCGTGCAAAAGCCGCCAACATTGTTTGGCTAAAAGGGCTTGGTTGAAGATGGCCAGATTTCGAAAGCCCAGCCCACCCTGATACTTTGGCTTACATAAATCCTCCCACCGTCTCTAATGCATCTTCTTTTCACCTTTGTTCCCCCACCAAAACCGAGCTAAAAGGGCATGAATTTCATCAACTAGACTTTCTGGGATCTTGAACACACTCATGAGATAAGTCGGAATTGCTTGAGCCACAGCTTTGATGAGAATTTCTTTCCCTGCCTTTGATAAGAGTTTTTCCTTCCAACCTTGAATCTTCTTCCAAACTCTTTCTTTCAACCCGGCAAAAATAGCTTTCTTTGATCTACCAACAATAGTAGGGATTCCAAAATATTTCTCATGTTTTTGAACTTCCGGGACCCCTAATAAGGCACATATATCATTTCTTCTATTCGACGGCGCTGATTTACTAAAGGAAATTTCTGATTTTGACATGTTGATTTTTTGCCCGGAAGCACGCTGGTATAATTCCATAATGCTTTTGATTACAACACATTCCGGTAAAGTTGCTCTAGTAAATAAGATGCTGTCGTCCACGAAGAAAAGGTGGGAAACTCTAGGCGCCTCTCTGCAGATTCGTGCCCCATGGATCACATTGTTTCCCACTGCTCTATTTAGTAAGCCAGAGAAAGCATCAGCCACAAAGAGGAAAAGATATGGTGAGATGGGGTCGCCTTGCCGAAGACCACGATGAGGGGTTATATCTCCCACAATTTCGCCATTAATTTTAAATGTGAAGCTGTAGCAAGATATACACTGAATAATCTTATCAACCTAGAGACTATTAAAACCAAGCTTCAACATTAATTTTTCCACAAAACCCCATTCAACACGGTCATAAGCCTTCATCATATCGAGCTTCAGAGCCATGGTACCATGTTTGCCTTCACCTTTCTTTTTCATCGCGTGAAACACTTCGAAAGCAATGAGAGCGTTGTCAGTAATAAGACGCTTTGGTACAAAGGCGCTTTGTTGAGGGGAAATAATAGAATGCAACATTGGTTTCAATCTATTGGCAAGCATCTTGGAAATAATTTTGTAGAGCACATTACACAAACTAATCGGTCGGAATTCTGTTATCTTGCGGGGTTCTGGAAATTTAGGAATGAGAACAATACAAGTTTTCCCTATATCCGAAATGTCAATAATTCCATTCCACCAATTAATCACAAAGTTAACAATGTCATTTCCAACAACATGCCAAAATTTCTGAAAAAAAAGAGCATTCATACCATCAACTCCGGGGGCTGTGTTGGGGTGCATGTCAAACAATGCTTTTCGGACTTCTTCCGCTGTTGGAGTTGTGCATAATGTGGTGTTCATATTATGGGTAACAAGTTCTTCTATACCAGCTAGAGCCTCATCAGTCCCAGGAGTACCCTCCGACGCAAACAGTATAGAGAAATAGGTAGTAATAATTGTTGTGATCCCTTTGTCATCAGTTACCCATTGCCCATTCACATCCTCTAAGCCCACAATGGAGTTTTTGCTTTTCTAGCCGTTGCTTTGTGATGAAAATACGGAGTATTCTTGTCACCATCGCGGAATTCAGTGGCTCTAGCCCTTGAAAACCAGTATGACTCCTCCATTAGGAGGAGCTCATCCAATTCGGTCGAAAGAGACTTGCATTGATTTATTACCACACCATCCATAACACCCTGTTGCGCGACCCTCAGCTTCTCTTCAACTTGGGAAATCTTCTTTTTAATACTGCCAAAGGTACAGGATGCCCATTTTTTAAGCTCACCAATACAAGTAGCAAGTTTGATATGTGCCTGATCACCCACATTGCTCTCCCACGCACCCTTCACAATCTCTTCACATTCTGGTCTTGATAACAAGTGAGTCTCGAACCAGAAAATGCGCTGCCTCCTCCTCTTCTCTACCCTCTCACCAACATGCAGAAGAATAGGAGCATGGTCAGACCTGCTGAGATAAATAGGAAAGTGTTGCACAACACGATGGGGAAACAACTCACACCATCTGTCACAGGCTATAAACCTGTCCAATCTTTCTCTGATTATTGTGGGATCCGAATTACCCCGCTGCCAGGTGAAAGCATTCCCAGTGTATCCAAGATCACGAGTTCCTGTATGATCAAGGACCTCACGAAAATCATTCATACAACGCTCACTTCTAGCATTCCCACCACACTTCTCATTCTCAAACAGAACTTCATTAAAATCCCCAAAATAAAGAATCAGACAGGAAGTATTTTGATGTATATCCTTTATGAGAGCCCATGTTTTATGTTTGTTCTCACGCTCAAGCCACCCGTAAATGCCTACAGCCCTCCAACTAACCACATTATTGCAATCCAACAGGTCTACCACAATATGATTGGAAAAGAAAGACACCACATTTGCATTAACATCTCTCCACCAAAATCCTAGGCCTCCCGAGAGCCCCACACTACTAATACACAATCCATCCGAAAAACCACATTTATTACGAATCCCCTCCAAACGCCTAGCATCAATCTTGTTTCCATAAGGAAAACGACATTCGGCTTCTCTCTCCAACTCCAATCACGGAGAGAGTTAACTGTCCGAGGGTTGCCAATCCCTCGGCAGTTCCAACTGAGTATTTTCATTGCTCTTCGCGGGGTGGTATGTGCACCACCTCCGCTACTTCATATGCAAGATACTGGGTATCTTGTGAGTAATCAAACTTGCTTCTTTTCTTAGCCATAAATTCTTCCTCAACATCCTGCCCATCAACTTCCATATCTTCCAGGAATTTTCGTTTGTCTTGTCTCCACTCACCTTCTAAAGAACTTCCTTCAACATTAGGCAGATTACCTCTAGCACCTCCTTCACCCCTAGTACAGCGAACCTTCACTCTCCTTTCCCCACCTTTAGCACATTTGGTAGGGTCCTTATTATGATGAATACCCAACGCAAAGGATAATGGAAGAGAGTCCGTATCATCGGCACTGCTATTAGAATGCAAAATCTCTTGCCCCACAGGATCCCTCCACTCCACACTATTTATTACATTCCCCCTGCCCAAAGAGACACTCTCCTCTTTGTTGGTTTGCCCCAAACCACTCACTCCACCTTCACTAATAGGCGCAAAATCCCTAGCCCCCACAGCACACATGGTATTAATGTGTACACTACCCCCTTCAGTCAAGCCTTCTTCCACAGTTTTCTCCTCCCTCACTCTAGATTTGTCTCCCAATATCTCCTCACACATCCCTTCCACAATCCCTACCTCCTGCCTTCTAGTACCTTCCAACATGCCAAGGTTGTTATTGTCCTCCTGCCCGGGACCTGAGCAGTGAGTATTTGTAGTAAAAGACAATGCTCTGGCCGTTTTCCACTCCTTCACTTCTTCCCCACCTTGTTTCTTCCCCCGTAATGGAGAAGCTTTTAACCATACTCCCCAACCGTTTCCATTTTTCTGATCTTCTTCCGAATACGACAAGCAGTCCTTTTCACTGTGCCCTAGCATCCCACATGAGAAACAAAAGAAGGGCAGCCTCTCGTACTTCAATGGGATAATAACAACATGTCCATCCCTAGTCTTAATTTTCTGAAATCACCGCAATGGTTTTCGCACATCCAATAAAACCCTCACCCTTCGACTTTTACATATGATAGAATCATCATCTTCTATTTCCAGAACATCTCTAATATTCGAGGCTATAGTTTTCACATGGTTCTCTGATCGACTGTTGAAGGGAAGATTCTCTAAACGGACCCAAAAAGGTGAGTGGGTAAGTTGAACCTCTGAGGGCTGTTCATTCCCATTAATAGAATTGAGAAGAAGAAGTGCTTGTTCAAAACACCATGGCCGACCCGCCATTACCTTCTCCATATCACGAGAATTACTGAACTGGAAAGCAAATAAATTGGACTCTAATTTGCGAATAATTACTTTACCTTTCAGCGCCCAAGCATGATTCATAGTTCTCTTGAAAGCATCGAAGTTTATTCCACGATCAGTATAAAGTTTCCCCACGAGTGTTAAGGAAACCCTAGAATCTTGTTCTGGGTGATCAATGTCTCCGACGTCCACTACATCAGTCTCCTCTGAGTTTAGGGTTAAATTTGCATAATTATCAGCGAGTTCATCGGCCATAGCCGGAGAAAATCCACCGGACAAAGGTGGGAAAATCGCCCTTTCTTACGAGGGAGGTTTTTTCCTTTCTTTCGAGGGAGTTTTATTTTTCCTTGATACTATTGTAGTTTTAGTTTTTCATTTTGTATCCAAATTTTAATTTTTTACATATCATTGTAATTTTGAGTTATTTTTTAATATAGCATTCCGTTTAATCTAATATATATAAATAAAGTAGGCATTTTTGGAGAGCATTCGGAGCGCCACGTAAGAAATATACTTATTTCGACCAATAAGAAGAAAGATTTGTATTTTATTTTTGAATTAAAAAATTATGTCCCCACCTAGATAAAAGTAACGAATTAGATTTGATATATCTAAAATTTTAATGCCACTTAGATTATAATCCACGAATTAAATTATTTTAATGAAAAAAATAAAGTAAAAATACAGGAAACATAAATTTATTAATTTAATACTACGAGTATAAGAAATCCAAATAAATATACTAAAAAATATTAAAATGATAAAAGCTTATAATAAAGTTTGATACCTATCATTATAAGATAAATTTTGATAGTATTTATGATAAGAAATACAAATTGTTCGTTAATTATAATTAAATTAAAATTTGTGATACCTACCATTATAAATTGACACATCATATGACACAAACAAAATTTCATATCAATAAAAAACCCCATCAAGCGATTTTGTGTTAGTAATTTTGTGTTAATTTTTGGTCATCAATGGCGGGGTAATTTTTAGCTTAATTTTTAAAATCCTATGTTTAAATTATTATTTCTAATTATTACTTACATTGTATTAATTTGGGATACTCAACAATTATATGTTTATGTTTTTTTTACTAAATGTTTTTTTAAATGTAGACCTAACACATCATATGACACAAATAAAAATTCGTATCAATACCAAAACCCCATCAAGCGAATTTTGTGTTAGTAATTTTGTGTTAGTTTTAGGTCATTAATGTCCGGGTAACTTTTAAAATCTTATGTTTAAATTTATATTTGTAATTATTAGTTACATTGTATTTATTTAGGATACTGAACGGTTATTTGTTTATGTAACGGCATATGATTAGATGTTGTATACTTAATATATGGATGACTTTGGTTATTTTTGGAAATGATGAAAAACTTCCAATGCATAAAAATTTGATTTTATATCGCAACAATTTTTCATTTATTGGTAAATATATTGATTTTTTTTATATAAATGTAAGGATTTAGTTTATATCAATTTCAGTTTGGCTAACATTTAACGGTTCAATTTATCCATTGATGTAGTAGGTTGTGTTTCGGGGTTTTCTGATGTCCTGCGGGAGAGTTACAATTCCGAGACTGGAACCGGACGCCTGTACCTGCAAAATAACGGAGACTCCTGAGAGCTCCGCCTCCAACGGTCAAGTTAGTACCTGATTAAGGAGTAATTAATACGGAAATTAAAGTAATAAGATCTCTCTAGGTGAGAGTGTTTAATGTTGGTAATCTGCTTTGTTAGCGAGATTAGCCGGTTATTAGTGTTCCGTAATGTTTCTGTTCTTCTCTTGATTTCTTGATTGCTTGACTGCTTAATTAATGAGGATTAATTAAGTATTTATAGCCTTGAGAAGCGTGCCACTCTCTAGGTTTAGGGTAAACCTAGGGCTGACCGGGCCTCTAGACAGGATTGGGCCTTGTTGGCCGGTTTTCCCATTTGGCATGGGTGGACACGTGGCGTGCCTCGATTGGTCCGTAGAGGACGTATCTGTGATTGACACGTGGCAGGCTCCTATTGGCCTTCGTGAAGGACACGTGGCGGAACCTGGTTGGTCCACTTGTCAGACGGTGATTGGTGGATAAAAATCCCTTAATCATTTGCCCCTCACAGGTGGCACGTGACTGGTCACGTGTCGCCTGTGACAGGTGTCGCATGGTGACAGGCGACGGCCTGCTACAGGTGTCACCTTGCAAACGGCCGAGAGATTTTCCCGCCCAAATTTCGAATTTGGAAGCGACCCTTCGCCTTCTCACTGCCTATATAAGGAAGTGCTGACTTCGGTCATTTTCACATTTGAGAACTTTGCGAGAACATTCGGACCCCTGAACTTGCTCTGACATTTCGGACCTTTTCTGCCTACCGCCTGTTCTGACAAGCCGACTGCACCGGACTTCCAGAACTTCATCAACCGTCACTCGTTCAGGTAACTCAGTTCTCTTACTCTTAATTTTCTTTTTATTTTTTGAAATGGCACCACGGAAGCACACGACACGACCTAAGTTAGTGATCAGCCGGTCACCGGGGACGGCTGAATCTAGGACTAGGAGTGCCGCCTGCCCTTTTCTGGACCCATCTTTGCCCTTTATACAAAGTCCGACTGTATCTGTGTCTATGCAGAACGTGATGGCCAGAACAAAACAGACTGCTATGATATCAAACTCAGACGGCTCCTCCTAAAGGGTGCTCATTAGTGAAACATCTGACCAGGCGCCAGATGTAGAATTGAAACGAGGCGGCTGCCAAGCCGACAGTTCTGAGAGAGGGGCCAAGGTGGTCCCTTCCCATCTTACCGTGGACATGTCTAATTTTCCTCCTGCTCCTTCTAAGGGAGAGGAGGCGGGCCCCTCTGGGAGAGGGGAGGAGTCGTCCTCTTCGGACTCGTCAGAGGACGAGTCCGAGTCCAGCTCTTCTGGCCACAGTTCTTCAGGCTCAGAAGAAAGACATAGCCGCCTACAAGAGGCGAGACTTTCTCATGCAGTTGAGAAGGGGGACAATTGGGCGGAGCCGTCCGCCTCTTACAGAGAGGAAAACGCCCCCTACTACTGCATGGTACCCCGGGGCCGGATCGCAACCATGCAAGACAAAGTGGCGAGCTTTATTGCTAACCACAGAATGGGCCCGGAATTTTTACTGTTCGTGCCGGATCCAGAAGACACTGTCGTCTGGCCGGCTGGTACCAGCTATGATGACGGCTGCTTTGGCTGCTATGTGGCGGCCATCAAAGCTGGACTGCGCTTCCCATTACATCCGGCTGTTCAGCGGATTTTAGATGGTTATGATTTGGGGTTATGGCAGTTAGCCCCCAACTCTTGGGTAAACGTACTCGGCTATGTGGCCGGGTGCGAAATGTACGGGGTGGAGCCAAGCTTTGAGGCTTTCGCCCACATGAACTATCTCAGCCGGACCCCTAAGTCGGGAGGTACCGGCTGGTATCAATTAACAAGCCATAGGGGTTACCTCATGACGAGAGGTAAAGCGAACAAATGGAAGGATTGGCGGAACACCTTCCTTATCATTGAGGGTTCAGACACGGAGCTGAACCAACGTTTTAACAAGTGGAATAGGGATCCGCCTCTTCTCGCAGGCGACCGCAGCATGCCGCCTGTTCCCCCAAAGGCTAAAAGAGAGATCCTAGACAAAGGACTCTTCAAAGTAGAGACTAGGGTGAACCCTACTTAAGGGGTACGAGAGCAAGTACCCCTAAACTGCGTCCCGAGCTTCAAGTGGCTCTATGACGAGTACTTTTTGGCCGCCTGTGGCCTCAGCAGTCGGTGCTCTAGAGGTAGCCGGCCTGACAAATACTCTGTTTTTTCACGCCTTGTTTACTTGGGATCTTTACTAACTTTGCTGTTTATTTTTTGCAGCTGACGCCATGAGTAAAATAACAGCATCCAAGACTGCGGCGGCCATGTTGCGGGCCTCTCTCATGCAACAGTCTTATGCCGACTCCCCAACAAGGGGGCACCCTTGGTAGGCTTCGAAAACTCTTCCTCTTTTAGTTGTCTTATGCATATACTAACTCTTTTTGTTTTCAGTCTGGCACTCCAAGGGCTTCTTCCTCGCAACAGCCGGACCCCAAGGCCCGGAGGACGACTGTTGCAAGCTCTCCTGGGTCTTCCAGGAAAACAGTGGCGGCTGAGAAGCAGCCGGCCACTTCTTCTAAAACCCCGGCGGGGCCGCCTAGAAGTATGGACAATCACTTGTAAAAACTTTCACACTTGCTTCCTTCTTGACTAGGTCTAACTTGATTTTTTCTTACGCTTGATGCAGCCGGCCCTCAGGGGCTTGACTTGGTTGAGGTAGCCAAGTCCATGATCAAAGTCGTTCCTCCATCTGAAAGGGAGGCGGTCAGGGGTGCCGGCACCCTTGACCTTGATGGGATTTCAGGGGTCCTTGCTGAGGTATACTTAGCATATTTTTGAGTATTTGAGTTCCAGGACGCCTGTTATCTTTTTTGTTTGGAAACTGACGCCTGTTTTTTTTTGTACTTAGGCCCTGCTCCGAGTTAACAGCCTTCGCAAGCCGATTGATCGGAAAAACAAAGAGGTAAAGGCCGCAAAAGCTATGGCCGCCTCCAACTGTGATAAGGCAATGTTTCAAATTGCCCAAAATGAAGTACTGACCATTGATATTCTTTATTATCAGGCGCAGGCTACCGCCGCTGTTCGGGCTCAGTTAGAGGCGACCCAGAAGAAGAATGACGAGCTGGAGGCGACCGTCACAAATCTTAAGGCCGAGCTGAAACCTCTTCGCCAAAAAATGCACTCTTACGAAGCCATGGAGAAATCTTTGGCCAACGTAAAAGAACGCCTGGTGAGCCAAGAGAAGAGTCTTACCCAAGAGCTCTCGGAAAAGGCCGAGCAAGAGAAGAAAGAGCTCGTCCGGGAGATGGTGGAAGACTCCGCTCAAATCCAGCGCATGACCTGGGGCCGCCTGTTCCCCAGTGCCGACTTTGCCTCATGGGAAAGAACGTACCGCCAGTGTTCGGAAATATATAATCGAGAGATCCTGGCGGCTGCTGAAGAAGAGGCGTTGGTAGATACGTTGGAGGAGGAGGAAGAGCCGGTTGTGGCGCTTGTGCCACTTGGGGGTAAGGCATCAAAAAAGGATGCAGCTGAAGCCGAGTCCAGCAAGAAGAGTGCTGACCAGGCGGCAGCTGCTAATACTGAACTGCCCCCTTCTTAAGCTTAATGTATTTTTTCCACGGCCTGCGTGCCGTTTGCTTTGTATTTACCCGG